GTGTCAAAGGCTCCTACCCCATCAACGGAGACGATGGCGGCAGTGGGGTCAAGCTCGGTTGCAACAGAAAGGGCGCGCACAACCAAGCAGAGCGAGTAGACAGAGCAAACTAATGCGGGCTGCACGCTTCCTGGATGGGCGCGGCATACTGCTGCGCCAGGCTTCGTGCGACGAGGCGGCGAGGGAAGTCACTGACAACAATGCTGAAAGCTTAGTGAGAGCAATGAGCCGACCGAGGCCAAGAGCGGAAGCAATGGCAGGGGGCACGGCTCCTCTGGCCAGCAACTGAGAGACCCGAGCAAAGCGGTGGGAGGGTCGTCAAGGACAAGGCGCAGGAGCTCGGCAGTGTGTCCGGAAGGGCCGGGCGAGGAACCTTTCCTGGCCGGCGACGGTTGGCGCGGGGCCCGCAAGGGCTCAACGGTGGCTAGCAAGGGCAGTAGCAACGGGTTCACCGGCGCCAGGTGCCGGCTCAACGTCGGAAGTTTCTGCCGGTTGGCTGTGACAACGTGGGCTGGACAGGGACCGGGTCCTGCAACTGCAAGGCATGCCAGTCGATGCCCAACCGGCAGCAACGGGCCTCGAGCTCCGCATCAAACCCGGGCTGCCAACCTTGCCGGCAAACAGCGCACTGCATGCACCAGACATGGGCGCGAGACCGCGCTAGACACAAAGCATGGTAGGCGTGTCCGCACACGGGCCAGTGACAGGGAGTAGCCACACCAACGCCATCAGGAAGAGCATGGTCCAGACAAGCAGGGCAATTGTCAGGATCAGGCACGGGAGTGGGGAGCCCTGCCGTGACGTCTCCCCCAACAAACGGGCAGGAATCGCCGTGCAGCAGCACCGGCGTGACCGCAGTGAGCGCATCTTAGGACGCGCTTCACCACGCGCTACGAACTCCGCATCGAGAGAGGCGGGGCTGGATATGGCTGCCAGGTGCCACGCAAGCAAAGCAAGCAAAACTTGCAAGCAAGCCAAAGCTGACCGCTTGTTGAAACCGCCCCCAGCGGCCGCTGGTTTGCCCTACGACGGCTACCCAGATGCCGTTTGGTAGACTAGTACCGCCACCAGTAGTGCTGACCGCTTGGGTTGCCCCTGGTTTTGTTGGGCTGCTCTTTGGCCTGCGCGGCGGGAACCACGGACTGCATAGCTGGGAAGCGGGCCCAGTATAAACAAGCCGTTGATTTCTAAGACCCCTTCCCGGGGCCGGGCACCAAAAAAACAAAGGTGAAGTACCGGGCCCGAAAAAAAAACTGGGGACCGTCCCAGGGGAAACGAGCCAGAATAACGTACGATTTCTTGTGTTCCGCCAGCTGAGCCTCAGGCAGCCCTCCCCCCAAAAGGTCTGGCACCTAGCTGCGGGATACTGGGTGGGGGGTGGTGTAGAAGCATCGCAAACGCGGATTCCAACATAAAACCTAATCGGGTGAGGAACAAATTGTAGGGAGCCGACTTACAAGAAGGTCGCGAAGGACTTACGAGGGTCGAAAAGGACCGACGTCTCTCCAGTTAGGCAAAGAACCCCGCATAATGACTTTATTGCTACTTGACCTTTTTGATTCATGGGAGAACCTCACCAGGGTGGGCGCGCCCAAGGCCGGCCAGGGCGTGCAGGCGCACAAAGGGCACGTGGGTGGGGCGGGGCACGTCCTGGCGCCCTCGGCGTCCAGGGCGCAGGGGGTGCGTCGAGGGCGCTCAGCGGCGGTTGAGCGCCAGGGGGCACGAGCGCGCAGAGGGCGCACGGGCGCGCAGCCGGCGGGTGCGAGCCAGCTGCAAGTTGAGCCTGGAAGATGTTTAGACTTGTCTAACTAAGCACACAGTTTTTTCACCCCTAACAAGACCCCCTGCTCAGAGCACAATGCGTTAAGGGCAGATGTAGACCCAAGCCTGGCCCCAACTCCGTCATTGCCACTGCTGTCTCACCCAAGTCGAGTTCTTGCGGGCCGTAGGACCGCTGGCAAGCTGGATGGCGAGCACGGCAAGCTGCCGAAAACTTGAGTTTTGAGCGCGCGGTGCGGACTGCGGGCCTGAGGGGCGCTGGCCCTAAGCGCCGCCTGCTCGAATCTCACAGACTCGGCTCCCGCGCTGCGGTCTAGTCAGCCAAAACTCGGTTTTCTGGTGGCTTGACTTGCCGCGCTTAGCGCCAGCGGCCCTAAGGCCAGCGAGAAGTCGACTTGGGTGAGAGTGTTTGGCTTATTTTTATATAGGTGAAATGGGGCCTGCATCTGCTCGCCAGTCGGCTTTCGGCGCATGCCTATTTCGCCTTTCGTGTGGGGAGGCCTGACCTTCTTTGCCAGCCGTTGTGTGATTACCCTGGTGCCGGGGGCCCTTGTTCAAGCAGGGTTCTGAGGGGCACCAAATCGACTCATGCAGGGGCAAAAAAGGCGCGTATAAAAAAGAAAAAGAAACATGATGCCAAATCTGCTGGTTTGCGAGCCAACTCCGGCGACACAGGCAGCATGAAGAAGGCTTCGGCCGAGCACGGGCCGGACTGCGACAAAAACATAGCAGCGGATGCTGCGTCAAGGCTGTCACATCTGCGGGAGCAGATGCAGCTTGCGGCCGCTCGCGCCCGATGTCGGGGGCATCGTCCCCGACACGCGGAGGCGGAGCGCGTGACTGCCAAGGATCTCGCGCCCTCCATGCTCGAAGGAGGGCAGATGCAGTCAACGCGCCCAGGTAAAGGTGGCGTACGCAAGCGCTAACGCGTGAGCGGGCCAGCCCTGCTTCCTCATCCAAGGGCAAACGATGATGCCCTGCTGTTGCATAGGTGGCGCCCTGGAGCGGCGCCCAACCGCGCTGCACTACGCGGCGCTACACGCCACTACTGCGATCAGCCACCGGCCTCCTCATCCCAAGTTGTCGGAACGTAACACGAACATGCACGAAAATATGCTTCCGCAATCCGGACTTCCAAATCGCACAGTCAGGCGGAGTATGCGCGAGAAAAATCATGTTGCGTTGGATGATGTGTGCAAGCATCCTTGGATGTCTCCATGCGCAGGAGCGCGGACAACTCTGCGCCATGTTTTCGTAAGTACATTGCGCTAAATCTGGGACCCATAACAAACCCAGAGAACCCTTGTCGACACACGACTCTCCGGACACAACAGCAGATAGAGAAACCTCCCAATCCGCGACCCGCCAAACGTGGACCATTCAAACCCTGCACTAAATTAAGCAATTTTTTTGGCCTGCGTCCAGTTTGGTCAGGGCAGGAAGCTCGACTGCGGCGAGTTTTGTGCAATACCTAATCCCCAACGATTAGCGGTTCGCGGCTTGCGCGGTGTACGGAGTAGAGTATGCGGTTTGCGGATTGTGGAATTTGAATTTGGGGTTGCAGCAGATAGATTTGACCAACAACGTGGTGCCAGTTCCGCAACAACAGCAGCAGGCACCGTGCAAGGGTGGACGAGTAAAAGAAGCTTACAAGGAACTTCTGACAGAGTGTTCCTGCGCAGTCTGGCTATGTTTGGGCTGAGAGTAGTGCACCATGTGTGCTGCCTTTTGGCTGCGGCCCTCGTGGCGTAGCACCCGTAGTAAAATTTGTCCCGGCATGGGTGCGGTTAAGAAAAGTGTTCCTTGCGTCGTGCTCTCAGGCAAGCGCGCCAACGACATGCTCGAGTGGTGGTGCTTTCCCCGCAGAAAGCCGATCCACAACGCTTGATTGTGACTGAATCACATTTGCTTGCTGAAGATATCTGAAGATCAGATAGCGCGGACGGCTGTGGTGGGGCCAACGGCTGCAGACAACAGGTCGTTCAAGAGTGGGCTAGGGAGTTGCGCGGGACTGGAAGCTAGTGGTTCAAAATCCTAACCGAAGTTGGTCTGTGAAACACACCTGGATCATGCCCGAATCATACCCGAAACATACCCCCTGACAGCAGCTTGCCACCGATGCCTGTTTCGTTGCCTTTGCTGCGCAACTACAGACTCTAGCAGCCAGCGTGCGAAAGTCTTGCCGGCCGAGGCGTTGGCCCAGGAAAGGTCATGTCTGCGTGGGTCGTTGCCTCAAGATTGCACGTGCTTTGCCATGCCTTAGGCTGTCCTTGCCTAGCAGCCTTGCCCTTTTTCCCAGGCAAGGCGACGTAGGAGACATGGCGGTGGCGGCGTTTTGGGTGGAAGCGCGTGCAGGCGAGCTGCATGTCGGAGATGTCATGCTGCCTTGCTTGGCGCCGGCGCGACCTGCAGGGCCCTACGGCCAAGGAAATCCTCCTTGCCATCGCAGCGCAGCCTCCGACGCACGTCGTCCCTCCTTGTAGGTCAAGGCGACGGTCTTGAACGCAGCTACAAGCACGGGGCGCCAGCGTGGAAAGCGCTTAGCGCTGCACTTAGGGGATGTCATGTCATTTTGGGCTTTGGCTCTTTGCCGGCCCGATCTATTCTTTTGCGACTGATGCGGGTAGCGGGCCTGGGTTAGGCAGTGGTGCTCGTCAGTCCTCCACGTGCGTGATTCTGTATTGAACTTGCACGGAGAAGGGAGGAGCCGCAAATGCTGCCGGAGACCTGTCCACGCACTAGCCCACATGTATGAAGCAAAAAGCCTTCCGAAAACACACCCGCGAAACATACCCCCGAAACATACCTCGAAACATACCCCCGAAACATACCCCCTCCTCAAACTTCCTGGGTTGGCAACGGCAAAAACATACAAACCGACCCATATGTGGCCAATATTAAACCAATGCTGGACCAATCGAAATTGACTTCAGTTGTTTGGATTCCTCTCGGACAAACAAATATCTTAAATTCGTGTTCCCCACCCTGAGCTCATAATATTGGTAGGGGGGCTGGCGTCCTTACTAGCAAGCGGGTCGGATTAGGGTGTAAGCATAGAACTGTAGACGTTCTGGGAGGGATGATGCTATGTTAGGGGGATCTTGATTTTTCGGTAGGGATTGCATCAAGCCCAGGCCCACAACGCAAACCATCCGCAGTGTATTTCAGATTGGGTTGCTTTGTCGTTTTGCTCACATGCCTGGCGAATGCTTTTCCGGAAGGCTCGGCGAAGCCTTTCTTCGATGCCCTGGCCACACTGGAAGTCCAATACGAATCTCTGCTGGCCGAGAACCGCCAGTTGCGCACAGCTTTGTGTGAGCCGGGGCCTCGAATGTTCGCCCTGATTTTGATTGGCGGTGTTTGCTTGCGAGCGGACGCTGCTGCTTGGAAAAAACAAATGCAGTATCCCGCTGCTTGGTTCCAAATGGATTGGCCCGAGTCCAAGTTTCCCACTCTCAGGTCGGAGAACATTGGGAGGGTAGCTCCCCGAGATACAGATGGTGCAGCAGAAGATGCTGCGCTGCACGCATTGCAGGCAAGAAGCACCGAAGTGCAACGCGTGGTTTGTTTGTGCCGGGGTATGGGTTTGCAGACGTTTGCAGCGTGCGCATGCTGGTTGGACTCAAACATCTGCAGGTTGACGAAGATCTGGTTCCTGGCAATGCCGACTCGTTGCGCCCGAGGCTGCTGTACACAGAGGCGCGCCCGACTCAACGAAACGATGTTCAGTGCCTGGCGTGCCAAGCGAGAAACATTCGAGGCTTTGCAGGCTTTGCAATCAAATGGGCGGCTATGGGTTCGTTTTCGCATGTAAAGGGCAACGTTAAAGATCTCATTTTTTTGGAGACAGCCCTGATGGTGCGCGTCGCAGGGCTGCCACGGGGCAGCTGCAGCGGTTGCCGGGGCGAGGAACGCAAGGCGGTCGAACTCACCTCAGACGTTGGTGAGGCGGGTCTTGGGCTTAGTTCAATTTTCAGGTCAAAGTTTAATACAGCTTGTGTCTTGATTTAGTTCCTTTGAAAGCTCCCCATAGTTTCCCCATTGCTTTCCTATTCGCTGTTTGTCCTCGACAGCTTCTCTTGTTGCTCTTCTAAAGTTTGCCTCCTTCTGCAGCTTCCTTGATGGTTCTGTGCAGTACCTTGCGCTGTCTTCCACAACTCCGTTCATAGTTTTTCTACAGGACCCCTTTCTGCTCGCACAGTTTCACCCCTTCTTGTCTTGTTTTTTTGAGTTTGCCTCCTTTTTTCAAGTTCGTTTCCATTGTTGTTCACTCTTCACTTTAAAGCCCCCCCTCTCCTCTACAGCTTCCCTGGCTTTCAGCTTTTTCAATCCTTTTCTACGGGTTTACGTAATTTTCTCTTCGCTGAATGCTGGCCTGTGTTCTTTATTTGGGGATAGCCCTTATTTTCAATGGATCCGCTGAGGATCTTGCGAGGTCTGATGTTCATCACACCATGGGGTCCAGGGGCGGACATAGGGCGGGATTGGGGATTTGGCTCGATGGGGTAACAACTTGCTGGAGGACATCAGTATCTTCATCGACACCCCGCCGAAAATCTGCGGCGGGGCCACTTGGCTTCAATCAGGTCGCTTGGCGTTGGAGGTTGCAATTAGTGTTCATCACTTGGATATGGGTCAAAATTAAACCACCAGGGGACCACAGGTTTCAGTCCATGTTTTCATTTGCCAGGGATTGCCAGGGTTCCATTTTGGGCACGCAATTTTGACCCACAGCCACCTGAGCTTTGGTTGTAGTTGCGGTCGCTGGGTGGTTTCTTATTGGACTGGGGCTTGGGACCCTTTGTTTTGGTGCTTTCAGGCCGGGGCCAGCCGACCGCCTGCGGCATTCCTTCTTCGAGAATCAGGAAATGGCCGCTGGCTCGGCATGGAGCAGCATGCTCGATCCTTCAAGGGGGTCATAAAGCGGTGCAAGTTCACTCGGTTTCACTTGGATTTAATGCTTTGTGGGGAAGCATCATGAATGCCGTGGTTGCAAGAGGAAGCCGACAGAAATACTGGCAACCCCATGTGGAGGGCCCGCAATTGCCGCGACTCAGAGGTCAGAGCCAGCATTCGGCACATCTTGGATCGAACCTTGGCTATGGGGAGAAATGAGGTGCCCAGCAGTCACAGGAGTTGGTCGGGCGGAAAATGTGCTGACGCCTTTTAAGCAGTGCAGGATGAGCAGCCAAGAAGTACGCCACATGTCCAAGGGGCAGGTTAGGGCGATTGCATGCGATTGCATTTTAAGTGAGTGCCAGGGGCAAAGGGGGCATTTGCGCTTACAAGTGCAACTGCAACAGATGCCCCAAAGATTGCAAGCAAGGGAACCAGGAAACCCTCTTGTTCACCGATGTCTTTTTGTATTAAGTGTGGTCCTTGCAATCGTCCTTGCCATAGTTAAGCATTCACCGAAGCCCAGGAAAAGTGGGGGAATCCCGGTATAAAGACCACGGCACGTGCGCTGCGATTGCGAAGCATCCGTTCCCTCGGCAGCACTCCGTATGTTGGGTTCAACTGGTCAGATGCACAACGGAAAAAGAAGAAGAAAGCAAACCGCTGGCTCAGGGCACAGATCCAGTGGCCTGGTCGGGGCGTGATCTGCCTTAGCCATGCATTCGTGTTGTATTGTGTTTTTTGTTTGTTTAAGATCCGTATGCGACCTGCAATGGGGACGCGGTAGTTGGGCACGTTCCCTTCGCGAGCGAGTCGGACGCGTCAAGCTAGCGGTGGATAAGATTGAAGATTGTTGGTGCGACATGCACGCCATTACTCGTTCTCATTAAGACAAACTAGCACTTGCCATTCTAGCAGGCAGAATTGCGACCCCTACAAGGCGCTATAGTTTTGGCATGGATCCTGCCCACATGCTTGCTGTTGCAGTGGTTGTCACTTTGAGAACAGGGACTTTCGCGCAACTAACATGTTTCATGATTCTCAACTTGTCTTTTGCTTGCAAAGCTTCCCGAACTTGGCAAGTTGTGAAAACATGTGGCATCAACCCAGCAAACCTCCTTCCAAGGCAACAACGCAGAGGCCCAAGCGTGCCAGGTTTTTCCAAACCATGGAGGCGGCCGTCCTTTGCGTGTACATGGTGTGGATGGGCATTGATGCAGACAACAACACAGCCTTGCTCCTCACAGAGGCGCCAACCATTTTCTTTGTGGCTGACCAGTTGTTTTGCGCCGCGGCGGCATGATGGAACTTTTGGGCAGTGCGTTTGGACTCTGAGCGCCAGCAGGCGGGCATGAAGCGTTTGTTGATGACAACTCCAAGGCCTCTACTTCTTCATAGAGCTGATGATCCGTGCTATTGCCCATCAGGGCTGTTGCAGCCGCATCCGGGATGGCTGGCAGCTTTGCGGCACTGGTTTGAGGAGGAGGGCGAACAACATCTTACTATGGATGTGTAAAGCAAACTGTTCAACTGTTCACTTGTTCTTTTTCTTTTCTTTTTTTTGCCGGTGTGTGGGTGGGTGGGTGGGTGGGTGGGTGGGTCGGGTGTGAGTGCGTGCATGCGTGCGTGTGTACATATAGTATGCCACCCACACCGACATCATATGTGAAGTTTTCTGGGTCCACTTGCAACATGCTTCAACAATCAAGGAATCAACCAGCTTTGAGGCTTTCAAGTTCAAGAAGCAAGAGATTCAGATGGCTCAGGGCTCTTCCCAGCCTATCTTGGCTCGGCTTCCGAACCCAATAGCTTTAAAGTGCTGTAAGACTCCCAGGGCACCAGGAAAGCGCCAGCCATGCTGTTCAAAAGGCTACCCTGGAGAGCCGGGGGGGCAAACGAACACATGTTTGTTTGGGCTTGTGGCGTGATGAAAAAAGCCTTTGCTGCGTGTCACCACGGACTTCAATGGCCACATGGCACAGGGGGAAGGAGATGCTTTGACAGAACGAACGCCAGGGGAACGAATGCCAGGCCACTTGCGCATGTTTCCCATTGGCAGGTTTGTTATGGACTCGATCCTGGTGTCTTTGACGATCTTCGATACTTGGGTGTCCTGGCATTGTCGACGCTTGGGATCAGCAGCACGGTCTGCTGCCAGAGATTTTGGGTCCTTTGTTTAACCTTGAGTTGGCAGATGCTACCCTTGGATTTCTTGCGGCCATGTATGTGTTTTCAACTGCTTGATTTGAGCGGGCAAGCGAAGCGCCAATTTGCCTTGTGCGGACGACCAGCTACGCGTGAAAGTGCTTGCAGAGCCACACTGGCAGCCCAGGATGAACCAACCCCTGGATGAGGAAGCAACCCTTCACTTGTTGGGAAGTCAACCCCCCTACAAATCCCCAGGTTGATTATTCCGGGCTCGACATTGCAGTATGCAAATTGCACTGCTGGCAGCAACTCCTTGCAGGTGATGACTGCCATCGCTTTGGCCACACCCCCTGAACAGACCACTGCAACCATTGTGCGCCCGGAGGCCCAAGAACAGGGAGCTGGCCAGCACTTGTTTCGTTTGTTAGGCAACCCATGTGAATTAGTTCGGGAGTTTTTTTTGTTTGGGCGATTTGGGTGAGCACTCCACATCATGTTCGTTTGTTTCATCCGCTCGTGCTGGCCATTGTATGCCATTACGCGGGTCAACGGAGAAGGGACAGACTAGGATGCCTCGGCAAGACCCAGGTGCAGCTGCTGAGAGATATATAATATATAGATAAGGCATATTGTTTACACATATATTTTCTCGTTTTTGGGAATGCTACTAGTAGGACGTGACCTCTTCAACGGACGTGAGAACAGGGTATGAGAGAGAGAGAGAGAGAGAGAGAGAGAGCGGTATGACAAGGAATGGACAGAGGAAGACTTGCATCATCTCAAGGTTGTTGTTTCTTCTTTAAAACAATAATCTTGCACACTTACACACTTTGTTTCGTTTCCGTTTCAATTTCCCATTCACCTAACGTTGGCTTTACAAGATATAACTATGCGCATGAGGGACGTTTCAACAACATAAGAACCATAGTTTGGAGAGCGCTTCTTTCCCCTTCTCTTTCTCCGTATCTTTCTTTGTCTCCTATGTTTCTCTTTTCTTTCTCAATGTTTTCTCTTGCTCTTTCATTTTCCCTCCCAGCTCACGAAAGTCACCGCCAAGCAGATGGTTGGAAGCTCACTTACCCGGAAGTCTGCAGAGGCTGTGAGGTGAAGAACCAAGGCTCAAGGCCGAGCCGGCGGAAGTGTGGGTTCCATTGGGCCGTGCGAATATGCATTGCTGGTTCCAATGCTTCCATGCATTTGATGCCCGTGAAGCGCGGTGTGCCAATGGTCTCGGAGACTATGGGCCCGTCTCGGCTGTTCCAGACCTCCTTACTCGGCGTTACAACCGGGTGGCTTGCGCACACGGAGAAGAGCGAATTGGACCCCAGGGCCGCTTTCTCTGCCCGCGTCTGTTCCCCAGTTCAATCATTTTCTGGCTTTTTTCTCAGCTTTGTCAAGTGCTGCGCATATTTGCCTTTAAACAATTCTGGTACGTGGAAGGTCTTGTTCAATTTGCTTTCGTGAGATTGGAAAAAAACTAGACATGCGAAAAGGAAATGAGCGTCTTATCTTTCCAAATTGCCTTTAATAAATTCCTTGGAAGCAACAAGGTGGAGGCAGAGGAGAAGAGGTTCATTCTCTCAGTATTTGGTGCATGGCTCACCTACCTATTGCTGGCGTGATGATCATCCATGTCTTGCTTACTTTTGGCTATGTGCTTATTGGGTTTTTGTTGACAGTTCGGAAGAATAGATAGGTTGCCTTTCAAGATGTATCTTTGACACATGATAGTAGAATAGCATAATCACATGAGCAAACGACTTGATTATCAGATCCAAGGAATGAAACACGATAAACTACACATACTAGAAATTAGGCGAAATACATAAAACTAAAGTGGCAACCATGGCAAACACATTCAATTATCAACTTTCATATCTTTCATTCAATGTTAGTCATCTCACTTTCGGCTCACCAGAGAGCGGCTTTGGTGGCTTTGGGCGGCGCAGCTTCACGCGCTCGCGCAAAATACTTAACCCGATATACCCGATCAAGTTTTGGGACAGAATGCTATACAGTAGTTTCACCCCTAGTAGCTCATTTGGGCCTTATGTGCCAGGCCGTCCGCCAACTTTTCAAGAATCGGAAGTAGGTGGGCTGGTAGCCTTTGATTCGACACCGGGCCTGGGGTTTGCTTTTTGTTTTTTCTTGGCCGTTTATATACAGGCTCGAGCGAGCTGTTGACGGTGTCACTGTCTCGAGCGGCACTGCTCCAGCTGGATGCTGAGGCAATTCTGAGCTCCTTCGGCTGGCCAGGCAGCTCGGTCAGAAGTGAACAGCTGATACGATGCTCAGAAAGCACTCCATGTTGCTTTGCTTGTTCTTGGAGTTCTCTTTTTGGCGTCAGACGTGGAAATTGCGATGCGGGCCTTGGCCACAGACACGGATTCTTCAGCCTTCGAAGCAGTTTGGTGTTCACCAACTTAGAAGGCTTCGGCGCGAACGAAAGGCGGCCCTAATTCGTCGGCTGGTTTTGTTTGAACCCGCTTGTCGTTCTTGGTATGACTTGCTACTGCTTGGAGTTTTAGCGGTTGGCCGCACAAAAAGAAAGCTGATGACTTCATATGACTTCTTCATTGAGATTTGTGTCGGCGTGGTTAGCCGAGGGCTTTGCAACAAGAGAGCGTTGTGTTCCGGGGTCAGAAGAGTGCAACAGGTTTTGGCAACGTGAGCAGAACATATTTTCCATGCCATGTTGCACGTTGAAGGACAACTAGGCTAGCCAGTTGGCCCAACACAGCACACACCCAAAGGCCGCTTTTCGACTCCAAATCAAAACAACATCAACGCGTTTTTCATATCCAAAAGCAACAGCCAAATCAAGTCATCAGAACAAACTTCAGTTGGGAAAGTCAAGCAAACAGTCGGGCATGTGCCCCCCACCGACAGCGCCCCGAACCTAAATGGCAGTGTCTGTTCACGTTGGCCGGGTGGATAGTTTTTTCCAACCAAAACACAACAGAACACAACAATGATTCACATTTCAACAATAGCGGTTTTGACGGCAAGGTAGTGACAGCCAAATCGAACAATCACGTTGAAAGCTGTCCCCAAAACACGTGTCAATCAGAGCTGCCCCCCAAAGGATTTCAGAGGGGATGGCAACATTTTGCAGTCCGCAGGTTAGCGCGGCTTTCAGAGGAAGGCGACAGGTTATGCAGCAAGTGCTTGCAGGATCGTCCGTCTCACGCGAATCTGCCGGATGGCAAAGCTTGTGAGGCTGGGGGGGCGGGGGTGAAATGTGGGGGACGCGACGCACGGGCCATTGAATGGGCAGGATCAACTTCTTGCAAATGCAGGCTTGTCTTTGGCCAACAGTGTTAGCCTGGAACATTGGCGATTCAGCTGTCATTCGTGGCCAAAGCAGACCTCGGCCTGGGCAGCAAACACACACAACACACACACACACACACACTCGACTCGTGCTGCAAGATTCCTGCCTCTCGATTCTTTTTCAGCCTTGCAAATCTCTGTGGCGCCATTTTTGTCATGTGACTCATGGGAGTTCTTTGCGGGAAAACGCCGTCCGAAGGCTTTTCCCCGAGCTGCAGATCCTCATCAAAGCCATGCTGGCTGCCTTCCGCTCCGCTGCTTGCCTGCAGCTGGCCGCTGCCGCCTTGTGCGCCCGGCAGTCATTTTTGTTGATGATGGTGGCATGGGTACTTCCTGGTAGTCCGTGTGACATCGTGTGACCCCATGTTTCTGAAGTGAATCTTGTTCAATGGGAATATGGTATGCCCTGGATGCACGCATGCTGCTACAGATTGGTGGTGTGCCTACACGAGGACCCAGGCAAGCCCCTTGTAGTTGCATTCCTTATGAGTGGTGCTCGCAATATGGCCGCGCAGCTCAGTTTACCTCAGTTTACCAAAGCCTACTTTGGGTGCATGTGGCAAAATGTTCATGCGGCAGCAACGACTTGTGCTTGACCAACGGGCAGAGGGGCATGGAGGCTAGGATGCATGTTTATGTTCCCACCCTTAGGTTACCAGCATTCACCAACCTACACTTGCAGTTGTCACGGGGGCCAATCACGCAAATTAGTACGGCCGGCGGAGAAGCGCTTCTTGCGCTGGAACCATCGTTAACTATCAGTTGGCAAGATTGTTCAAAACCTCGTCCTCAATGATTAGCAGATTACGGATTGTGCGGTTTTCGGATTATATCATGCGGCTTGCGGATCATGGGTTGCACGGATTTTCCAAGCTCCACAGGGTTTTGACATGTGGATATGCACGGATTACGGATTAAGATTTGTCCCAAACAAAACTGCGATTAGGCCGCCAAGAAATTCGAACAGGCTGGGTTCAGGAAAGAACGAAGCGCCCGTGGGGTGCTGGGTCAAACCTTGCTCATCCAGGGCGTATATGCGGCATCTCAGGTCTTTTTCACGCTGGTGCTTCTTGCCCTTTCGCACTACGTGGTTGCCATCGCCTACTGCGTCACATTGAGCGAGACACAAGTTGGAGTTGCTTCTTTCTCTTCGGTTACAGTATCTCGCACGGATGGATTGCTCCAGTCTGAGTGGGCAGAATCCCGATGTGTTGTATGTTGTATGTATTGGGCGGTTGCTACTTTGCTACTCGCTGTGGCGAATTGAATGCACAAAGCCGTAGGCAACAGGAGCAACAGGACGTGACACCGCTGCCGCTCAGGCAGCCATGCAGACAATATTCATTCACTGCACCCTGCTGGATGAAGTGATGAGCCTCGTTGCTGCCTGACACAAATTAGTATTTGTGTGGATCCTTCTGGTGGGCCGAGCGAGCCGTAAGCCACAAGAAGCACACACGCACGCTAACTTTTGACAGAGTGCGTGCGCTCGTTTTTGCATGTTCCCAAGTCCATTTCTACTTGCATTGGTCATGGTCAAATATCTCAGTTGACAGACCTATACACGTGTTGATATCGCCAAGCTTGCTGTCATATTTGTCTAGGAGGTGAGCGGCTTCGCCAAAGTACTCAACAACACGTGAGGTGGTCAGCGATTTTGGTGTATTTTGGAGCAGTTTGGGCGAGTTGTGCTGCGTTAGATCCCTATCTCCATGAGCGGGCTGCATGCCAAAATGTACGTGCCCGTGCTTCATGGCGACCAGAAAGGCACCGGGATGTCTGGGGTTTGCGCCCGGGCAAGCGGAATAGGGTGCGCTCCAGCCCGTAGAATTGTCCATGAACCGCGCAACTTGCAAAACCCAGCCTTGAAGGTGCGCGCGGCTTGAACTCGCAAGGGGAAGGCTTGTCGAAGGTTGCAGGATAGTCAGCGACCCGCCGGCCCACTCTCTCCCAGGCCTTGGCTACCCCCGTCCCAAGCAACCAGGCATTCTCAGAGTTCTCTCCCTAGCTGCTTGCCAACCAATGGGATGCCAAGCACTAAGCGCTCACTAAGTGCTCGCCAAGCACAGTGCAGGTGAACCTCGCGCTTCTCAATAATCTTGCTGAGAGTCTGACCGGGTTTTTCTGTTTTTTTTGTTTTTTTTTTTTGGGGGGGGGGCGGTCCACGATTTCAGCTGCAGCTGCAAAATCCCAACAGCAACATGGCCCGTTTCAATTTGTTCTGATCGTGATCACGACGGCCTCGTAATAAAGTTAGCATTACGACGCCAGCAATTTTCGTTTGAAAGTCGGCCTCTTCAAGGGGAAGTGATTGGTGTACGCAGACAAAGTGTGCTCAGCTGGATCATGCCTGCATCATGGTCATGCCGACGACACGAAATCGGCACATTCCCGCTTTCCTATTTTCCCGGCACCGATGCTGCTAGCTTTGCACTTTTCCTTTGAAGCATGGCGTTGATGTGACCGATGCCCAGATTGTTTTGGATGACGAGCAGCTGTACGTGCACCTCGCATTGCTGTACGGGGTGATGTTTTTGAATGATGCTCGGCTGCAAGAGTGGCACATCCAGCCTGGCCAAAGTGGCCAAAGTGGCCATTTCACATTTGAGCGGCGGTTTTTAGCCGCAAGTTAATTTAGTGGGGAGAGGGACATTATTATTGAAAATGTGCGCCGCGCCACACGCGCGGAAGCGTGCGGAAGGCTCGCGGAAGGGATTTGTTCGCGGAAGGTTTGCGGAAGCATTGTGGCTGATTTACAACTAAATGTTTCAGTGCGTGCACGGAAAAGCTCGGAGAAACGATTCCAGTAGAAGAAAAGGTGTTGCTGCGTACAAGAAACGCAACACTTACTCCAAGAGCGGATGCCAACAGCAAGCCAAGAAGGCCAAAACAGCCGGCGTACTTCGCGGAAGGTTTGCGGAAGCTTCGCGGAAGCTCCGCGGAAGGGTGGCCCCGAGTTTGCAGGCAAGTGGCCACGTAGCATCGGTAGCCCATTGGAGCCCAGGCCTACACAAGCTGCGACCTCACTTAAAATGACTTTCATTTCTGCGCCAATGCTCGCAGAAGCGAATCTTGTAAACCATGCCCCGCGGAAGGCTTGCGGAAGCAAACAATGAAACACATGTGCCGCGGAAGTTCGCGGAAGGGACCTCTTGGCCGGCGGCAAGGATGCGGAAGGGTCCGCGGAAGCTTGAATAATGTCCAAGCAAGTTTGTAGGGAATAAGCGAACGCTCATTTGCAGCCTGGCCAAACGCATGTTGGCAACAGCGAGTCCAGAGCTTTCGATTAAAAACAGTTGGGTATGGGTAAAAATCAAACCACCAGAATTTTGGTCAATGTTTGGTCAATGTTGCCACTTACCAGGGTTCCATTTCGGGTACATCTTTTTGACCCACAGTCAGTTGTTGCCTGGTGGGCGGCAGGCTATCACATTGACAAATATCCTCATTGGCATCGTCGTGGAGGTCATCAGCTCGGTTGCTATGGCAGAGAGGCCTGAAACCCTGTTGACAGATGTTGCCCAAACCTGGCTGCGTCAAGACAGCTAGGCTTAGAAAGACGATACGTATCCTGTGAGATTGCTTGGGCTCTAAGGGTGCAAGGCGCCATTTGTACCCAAAAGAGAGCAGGATCCTGACACTGTGAGTCACCGACCAACATGCCATGAACATCTCATTGCAAAAGCCCGATGCGGTACTTGCGCAGGGAGTGCATCAACGTGAGCAACGTCCAGGACGTCTTGCAGAGCTTTCTTCTCTTTGATGAGAAGGGGGAGATGCCCAAGTCTGCCCGGGTCTTGGCTTTTGGCGCGCAAACAACAAATGCAGCGCTGCTGTGGACCCGCCCTGACCTTGTAGGGGCAAAGCAAGTTCCTGCTAACTGCGCGGCCCTTCGCCAAGGCGACAAATTTTGGTTGCTCCCAAATATGCGTTCAGGCAACATGGCGAGAGAGGCGAAATATGGAAAGACAATCGTTGCCTAAATTGCGCCCGCCATCAATCAAAATTCCGGAAGCGAAGCGAGGCTAATTCGCCTGGCTATGCGAGAGGTGAACCAAGGTACAAGGATCACCTAGCATGGCCTCAGCTGCCGCTGAGGAGTTGCTCACGTCGCTGGCGAGCCCATCGGCCTGCGCGTTGGAACAGCTTGGCCGAAGCCTTAGCTTTTGCTGGAGCCAGATAAATCCATGAGTTTTGACTAGCGATGCCTAGGTTCCTCTCAAGAACGCCACCAAAGGGTTAGATGGTTGTCAAACCCAGCGTGAAACATCAGCTCAGCTTGTAGTGTCCCTTCTATGTGAGAGCCGTTCTAACACACTTGCTTTGTTTTTAGAATGAGGTTCGCTTTTTTTGCGGTTTGTGTAGGGTTCGAGTCGCGGAAGCTCCGCGGAAGCGCGGCGGAAGCTTATGAAAAAAGGTAGCACGTGTTTAGATCCCGTGCTTCATGATTCTACGCAATGTGTTTTTTAAAAGCTTCCGCAGCGCGGAAGCTCTGCGGAAGCTTTGCATGTGGGAGTCGCTCTAAAGGTCCTTGTAGCACACTTGCACTACAAAGTTGCAATTTTCGAGCTGGAGCTGCAGTGTAATTCGCGTACTGCACTTGTACGTACACTACAAAGCTGCGATTTCCGAGCTGGAGCTGCGGAAGTGTACTTGCGTACTACACAAAGCTGCGATTTCCCAGCTGGGGCTGCGGAAGTGTGCTTCGCGTATTGCGCTTGTACTATAAAGATTCGATTTTTTGAGATGGAGATGCGGAAGTGTACTTCACGCACAACACTTGTACTGCAAAGTTGCGGTTTTCGCGCTGGAGCCGCGGAAGTGTACTTCGCGTACTACAAAGTTGCGATTCTCGAGCTACCACACTTGTACTACAAAGCTGCGATTTACCAGCTGGAGCTGCGGAAGTGTGCTTTGCGTACTGCGCTTGTACTATAAAGACGATTTTCGAGATGGAGATGCGGAAGTGTACTTCACGCACTACACTTGTACTGCAAAGTTGCGGTTTTCGCGCTGGAGCCGCGGAAGTGTACTTCGCGTACTACAAAGTTGCGATTCTCGAGCTGGGGCTGCGGAAGCGCACCTCGCGTACTACACTTGTACTGTCAAGCTGCGATTTCGAGCCGAAGCTGCGGAAGTGCACTTCGCGTACTACACATGCACAACACTAGAAAACATCTTCTGGTGAGAAGGCCAGCGGAAGCGCGGCGGAAGCCTAAAAGCGAAACATGCCGGGAAAAGACACTTAGAACAACCCTCATGTTCATAGAGCTTTTTTGGAGCTGTTTGGAGGGGCACCTTAGAAGTGAAATATACCTGTTCTGTCCTGCTGAGGAATAGATCGCCCCGTACTCATCGAGTCCCTCAACCAGGACGGGGTCGCTACAGTTTGGCCAGCCTGGGACTGGCGTACTCGACATTTAAGGAATATGTTTTTGTTGTTTTGTTTTACCGTTTTTGGTTTTAAAGGGAATCAATCACTACTGGAAATATGTTTTTCCAGGTGAAGAAACGAGGATAAAGTTTGCCTGAACCTCCTAAGGGAATCCACCCCCTAGACAACAAGAAATGTCCTCGAAGGAGTTGAACTCTCGACAGCTGGGATGTTTGGGGCAGGCCTCAAGGCCACTGAAAGGCCAATCATGCTCGAGGTTCTAGGACTTAATCAGCAAGCCGAGTAGGGAAGCTGAACCGGCCCATCAACCCCCCGAAAGATGCAGCTGTGACTGTACTCCACACAGACAATTCTTTAGGAAATTAGGAAATTAAGTACGTGCTTGTGGTCTGAACATGCATGATGCACTATGTAAATATATATATATATATATGTGTTTGTATATGCATATATGCATGTGTGTATTTGTACAGTATGTTTGCGTGCGCATGTGTGTATTTTTATGTTTGCGTGCGTGTGTTTGTGTTGGTGGTTTGTGTTCCTTTGTTCCCTCTCTCTCGGGGTGTATCTGCGCTCTTCTCTCTTTGTCTTTCTGTGTTCTTCGTTTGCTGCTTTATTTTCTTTATGTCCTTCTTTCTTTTCTTTTTTTGTTTCTTTAGTTCTTGCTTTTGTCTTTTTTCTTTCTTTCTTTCTTTGGTTCTTTCTTTCTTTCTTTCTTTCTTTCTTTCTTTCTTTCTTCGTGCTCTCCGGGGTCCACGAGTGTTTGCGCGGCACCACATGCATGCATGCGTGACATGCATCAGTGTGAGTGTGAGTGTGCAAGTTTGTATTCATGTATGCCTGCGTGGCTGAAGGCATTTTGTTTGGGAGTGACCCTAGTTAACACAATTAATCTAAGTCTTTCTAGGGGGAGCGGGCAGAAGCAACAAGATTGTCTTGTCCAAGCGTGCGTTGCTGTTGCGGTTAGTGCGGCAACTGTTTGGCAAAGCCACGTCTGAGCTTCTCATTCCACCATGGTTGAAGCGGGATTAAGGTGACCGGAGGGCTTGTGTGCAGAGCTGAAAGTGCACGATCTTGACCTGCAGCGCAATTCACGCCTCATCCGTTCTGAGTGTGTGATGCTTGACGCGTTGCAAGTGGCAGTCGCCAAGCTTGCGCTCCAAAAATCCGAGGCCAAGGTCCCAATCGCATCGCAGGACATGGACAACTCGCCGGTGCACTTCGAAAACTTCCTGGAGCTGGTGCTGCAGCCGCTTCGGCTGAAGCTGCGTGGCCGTGTGCATTTGGGCCTCCCGGTCCTGTCAACCGAGTGAGGGGGCCAACCCCTCGAATTCCTTTTAAAAGACAGCATGTCCCTTTTAGTGGGGACGACTAGGCAAATGGAATTGGAGCCCCCCCAACCCTCTCATTCAATGGGCTTAAACTGAGGGGTAGTTCAGTTCATTCCCCGAAAGCAAATGTTTTCTGGGTTTTTAAGCCTATCTTGCGGCAGTCAAAATCGCAATATTCTGAGGGTCTCCACACTTTGGGCAATTTGTTCGTAGCTATGCTTTTGCGCACAAGAGGAGGGAGACAAGCTGAATCAAGCTTATGCGTTGCCGTGCTGTGAAGTTGGAGGGCCACTTTTGACCGGGCGTGGGCGCTGTCCAGCGCCCACAGAAAGAGCCACAGCGACACTCGACCATTTTACCGGCAAAAATGTGTATTTTGCGCTTGGCACGTCGGAGCTTCTAAGATGGATTGGTGTCCACTTGCGACCCTCAAAACCGGGGGGGATCAACTGCAAGCCGTTCAGGTCCAGAGGCAGCAACGCAGCCACTGTGAAGGACAAGGGGCGCCGCTTTGTGCAGGGGATGAACCCAGGCTTTGGTCCCCTAAAAAAGAAAACCAGCGTAGACCCCAAACGAATTGTCAGAGCACAATGATGCACTACGCAGGCCAAGCCAATAACAAATGGGTGTCTTCTTGAGGATTCACCCAAAATTCTTGTTTCTCCTGGAACACTCTTGCGCGGCGACAGTGAACACGGCTGTCAGCCAACAGAGAACACCTTGTGCGCCAACACAGGCTACGATGCGCCGACAAGGAACACTTGCGCGCCAACAGTGAATTCAGCGCCGTTTTGGCAAGGATTTGAAGAAGCAAGCGTCCGCCGAATCAGCGCTGATTCGTGAATCCTCGCTAAGACATAGGCAAACAGATGCGACAGTTAAGAGGAGCACAAAACAATAGCACACCCATGAAAGCTAAATAAATGTTAAATATTTAACATTATTTAACATCCATTTAACATTCAGTTTCCTTTTAATTCAGAGGTAACTGAATGTTAAATGGATGTTAAACAATGTTAAATATTTAACACTTGTTTAACATGTGTAGTTTGGTGGCTGCTCCCAAAAGATTTCACTTGGTGGGAGCCGTGTGGCATGGACACCATAGAAGTCAGGAGCCTTTAGGACTCCTCGAGTCCTCGCTTACCCGGTTTGGTACGGATCTCCGCTTACCCGAATCAGCGCTGGTTTAAACGAATCCTCGCTATCGAATCCTCGCCGGAAGGACTGGGCTTAGGCGCCAGCGAGCAACACTCCAGCGCGCCGGCCGCTTGTGCGCCAACAAGGAACACTCTCGTGCGCCGACTGTGGGCGCACTCATGAGCCAATAATGAACACTTTCATGCGCCGACGTTGAACACGCGAATGCGCCAACAAGGAACACTCTTGTGCGCCGACGGTGGGCGCGCTTTTGCCAACAACGAACACTTTCGTGTGAATACGCGAATGCGCTAGCAAGGAACACACTTGTGCGCCAACAAGGAACATTCTTGGGTGAGCCTCATCAGCACCCCCCCCCCCCCCGGCGTGGCTGCTCTGTGAATGCCCTGGCTGCGCAGAGGGCCAGCCTTCCACCAAGCTCTTCCGTGTACTTGGGCGGTTGAGCAGTGCGCCCAGAAAACCACACTGTTGGCCAAGCGCACGTGCTTCGAAACGCGCCCTGCTGCCCCATCCCCGGCCGTGCCTGCGCCAGCCCCCAGCTACCCCTTCCAGGACGCTCAGTACTCAGGGTTATTTTGTGAGATCCTTTCCTCCCATCGGTGCTGCCTTGTTGTCGTCAGGCTTGTCGGTGGCCGCTGGGGCGCTGGGGCCGCGAGTTTGTCCGGTTGCTTGCCCGGGCCCGCGCCGGCGGTCGGCCTTTGAATCTTTTGGTGCCGCGCGTTTGTATGCCAACAGCTTGCTTGCCCTGCCAGTCGGCGGCCCGCACAACCTTGATGGGCCCGTGCCGGGTGTCAGCGACGTCCTTGCTGCCCGAGTGCAGCTGGCTGCAACAGTGCCCGCAACCCCCCTTAAAGCAGCGCTTCTGGGGGGTGAGCCACAGGACAAGGCAGTGGCAAAAGTAGGTGTGGAAAAAAGCAACACTCTTGTGCGCCAATAGCTTGTGGGACGCCAAGCCGGCAAAAACAAAAGCTCTCTGCGCAAATGCGCACACTGGCCACTGGGGGGCAAATGAAGGCACATGCTGGGAGACAAGTAAATGCGCGCACTGACCTTCATGCGGCCTGGCGATTTGGCAGCACTGAAAGAGAAATGAAGGCACATACCGGGAGAAAAATAAATGCGCCCACTGGCCTTCATGCGGTCCGGCAATCTGGCAGCGCTGGGAGACACCTGAAGGCACATACGGGGAGACAAGTAAATGCGCACACTGGCAAGATCTGGCGGGCAGCCCGCGATCCGGCAGCGCTGGGAGACAAGTAGATGCGCACACTGGGGAGACAAGTAAATGCGCACACTGGCCAGCATGCGACCCGGCGATCTGGCAGCGCTCAGGGACAAATGAAGGCACATGGCCCGGCGGTCTGGCAGTGCTGGGAGAGAAGTAAATGAGCACACTGGCCTTCACGCGGCCCGGCAATCTGGCTGCGCTGCGAGACAAATGAAGGCACATACTGGGAGACAAGTAAATGCGCACCCTGGCAAGCATGCAGCCGGGCGATCTGGCAGCGCTGGGAGACAGATGAAGGCACGTGCTGGGCGACACGTTTATGCCTACACTACTGAGCATGCGGCCTGGCGATCTGGCAGCATGCGGCCTGGCGATCTGGCAGCATGCGGCCCGTTCTTGTTAGAAGAGTAAGAACCCCAACAGCAGACACACAGTAAACTGTTTTGGGAATAATTTAGAGAGCCCAACTGAGCACCAGCAATTACTTTTGCCTTTCGGTACACGTCAACCGACGCTTTGGTCCGCGCATCCCAAGCTCCGAAAACTCCCGCAGGACGTGATGGAACTTCGGAAGCGCATAGCTCGCACCCAGGAGGCGAGGGCGGTGCCCAAAGCAGGATTGAAACTTTCAACTCTGGACGAAGCCTGCGTTTGAACTGTTGCCTTTCAATGCGCAAGCGCAATGTGCTGAACTGTACTTGTTGAAGCTACTGAAGCCGGCAGTCCCAGGTAGACATTCCTGGCACAGCCGTGCCAGCCAAGATCTTCTTTTCACTGCCTGGGCATTGGCCAACCTTTGAATCATCTGCCCCTTCATTGTTGATTCACCGGTGCCTGGTTTGCGTAGAGGAAAGTGACCTACAGAGAATTGAAAAATATATAATTAGTACCTACTCTCAAGCTCCAACATGCCTTACAGTTAGCAACAAGATGAAGGCGATGGCAGCCTTGATGCTTTCATTCCGTATGTGTTGCCTATCGTACGCATGGCTTTTCACGATCTAGACATGGCTTAGATAGACCCTGGATTGCTGTACTCAACATCTCAAACGCAGTTTTTTACGCACTTTCAGCCTGCGTGCTCATGCTTATGGCCAAGTACCGAAGACGGTGATAAACTGAGTTTCCCATAACGCACATGTTCCATCGTAGTAGATGTTGAAAGGTGGGAAGCAGCCACCCCGAGCTTAAGCAATGTCGCCGTAGGCGTTCCGACACGATGCGTCGGT